CACACACACATACGCACACACACATTATTAGACACGTCTGAACCCATTTGCATAAAATAATTCTTCATTGTGACACCTTTGACTTTCCAAAAAAGACTTTTCTTCATTTCTTTACAATTATATAACTTATTTTTATAAATCAAGACACAGAGAGATTTGTATATTTTTGTGAAAGAAATATCCAAAGATGCACAAACACATTTTTTCCCCACGAGTCTAAAAACTTAAACTTGGATTAATAAAAAAAGCATCAGAACCATAGTTGTAGTACCCACTACCTCAGAGAAGTTTTAGGTTTTGGTGAGTCAACCTGCCAATGAAAAGTCTGACTTCACTGAAATTGCTCTGTAGTATTGTGCTACTCAAATTTACATTTTTATTACAGTTCAAATAAATAAAACATAGTGAATTTTTACACGTTGACACTTAGGCTCAGACTTACTGCATTTTTTGATGTAATAAACACACAGCTCATAAATGATTCACACAGTCCTACTTAAAAAATGAATAATTATCTGTTCCTTTAAGGGCTGCAACAGATACACCTTACTCTTGTGCAACAGCGCCAAAAACATCAAGCATTGCTCAAAAACTTTCCACAACACTAAAACCTGTTCAGCAAGAGTCCAAACAGGTTTTATACAAACAATACTGTTGTCTTACCTGATGAGGATGGAATCATCACCGCCTAGAAGAAAAACAAACACGTGTAATATTATCTCTCATGCTCCAAATATTCCTTGGTTGATTAACTATTAAGCAACAATAAAACAGACTTACTGTCTCACTTGGTTGAAATATGAAGGCTGTAAAGGGACACAATAAATGTGTGATAAAATTAATTATCTTTTTAAAAAAAAAGCAGTAACATTTTTTCCCTCATCTGAGAAACTTMATTCGTCTTCCTCAAATATATTAGAAGTCCTCACCCTTGTTGCGGCGATAGAAAATGCCCGGCAGCCGGTTAGAGCGTTTGAGGTAGAAAAAGGAGGCGACAGTGAAGATGAGGAACAGGCTGATCAACAGAGTTCCAAGAAGGAGAGAAGCTGCCACACCTGGGCCTCCTGCAGCAACACATTAACAAAGGAAATGTAGCAACATCATCTGTCGCAGAGATCGATTCTTACAGATAAACAGAGAAACTCCTAGTGACTACGTTTGCCAAATGGCGTGCAAATTTTCCCTCAAATATTGACAATAAAATAAGTTTAACGTGTCTATGTCTCTTACCAATTTTAGGAATGACAGTAGTTACTGTTGTGTGATTTTTACGATCCAACGTGTAGTCTAGAAGGAACAAAGCACAATTAGGAAAAAAAAGCAGTGTTTATCAGATCAAATTGTTTCTATTAAAAGGGGACCTATTACGCAAAATTCACTTTTTAAAGKTTTTTTTTCTCAACTTTGGGTATGTACTTCTTAAGAAAACAGTCCTAGGACCAAAAAAAATGCACCCAGGGGCATATTTACTGTAAGTAAATGTATTTTTAATATGTATTAACGACAAGTTTTATACTTCCGTCATTTTGTGATGTCACAAGCCGTACGACAACCCACCGGAGCCTGCGTTCAGCCCCTTACCTAGCAACCCCCGGGTGAGACTCCTCCTCCTCAGAATAAAAAGCCGTCAAAGTGTTGTTGTGCAATGTGCAGCTCATTTCACAACAAGTCTCCAATAGGGCAATGGGTAGAGTGTTGGACTAGAGTGGGAGACCAGGGTTCGTGACCAGCACAGACACAATTTAATTATTGTCGTTCGTTATGAACACGTTTTCTCATGTACCTCTATTGTTTAGCTTATTAAAGCCTTGTTAAAGCCTATTTGTTCGAGTTTCTGAGGTATTTTCACCGCTGCTGCTCCCTGCTCTGGTAACAGCATGCAGAGAGAGCGCAGAACAGAGGGGGAGAAAAAAAAAGAAGAAGCTGGGACCACTACTCTTGACTCTGGGTCTCTCATATGGTTGTACAACGGAGCTTCTGCTATTATTAGCCATGCTAAGGTAAACGCTGGCTTTGGAGGGCGGAGTTAATGTCAACAGATTTTTGGAGGGCGTTACCAACAGAGCTCATTAACATAAACAGCTCTTCTGAACAGAAGTCAGAGCAGGCAGAACTAGAAAATGAGAAATTTTATTATCTGAGAATTATTTTGTGCATTAAATTGAATGAACATGGTCTGGATAGCCCACAGACATACCATAAAAATTTCTAGGACCCATAATTGGTCTCCTTTAAAACACTTGGTGCAAAGTTGAAAAGCCTTACTGTATGTGCAGACTGTTCTGTTCTCTAAATCCACAGCAGCTGAGTCACAGAAGATGCAGACAGTGTTGCTGTTCTCCAGGACACGAACAAAGCAACCTGAGGAATCAGAGAGGAAGATTTTATTTCACACTGCCGCCTTTTCTTCTCCACTTTGATGTCGCTTCATAAACAAAATGTTCATTTTATGTAACAATTTTAACTTCACGGGAAAAGAAATGATGCGCTTTTCACATTAATGAAGGAAGAAATCCTGTTTTTGATTCATGAAATAAGTTGACCTTTGTTTTAAAGCAATTCACATGAAAATAATTGTTATATTGAATTCTGGTTCTGTGTGATTATTCTCAAACCAAAGTTAGTGTTTCTAATACCATGTGTTTAACATTATTAACACATTTTAATATAAAAATAGCTATAAAAGTAAAACAGACCTTTCCTAAGTTTCAGGAAAATGGCCTCGTTTTCTTGTTGCTTGAATAACATAACTCACATACACTGCAAATCCACAGTCAGATAATCTACTAATCTAATCTTACAAACAAATACCACACTTTTTCCAAGAGTTTTTGTTGCAGTACTAAGTGAGCGTTTCTCAAATACTATCCAATATCTTTCTTCAGAAACCGTAACAAATCAGTCTTTTACAAGTTTTTGAACATTTCAATAATAAGAAATAATTTGCAATCATTTTACACTAAAAATAAAATTAAAGCTCAGTACGACAGCAGTAACTAAACAAGGCTTATCCTGCCTAAATAAAACAAGTTATTCAGCATACTTTTTTTTATAGTTTTACCAGAACAGTTCAACTCCACTAGTTTGAGAACCACAACTACCAGTACATTTTAAAACTCCTAGTTAAGACCAGCATCAGAAATAATAAACACATAATCTCTAACAATGACATATTTGGTCATTACCTGGTTCACAGTGAGTGTCATTTGAGCACGAAATGTTCACTTTCAGTCTCTCACCACAGCACTCCAGTGAGTTCTGATGCAGGGCCTGAAGGCAGACGGACAAGTGTGAATTAACAAAGCTGGTATGCAGCTAGATTGGTAGAGTGTTATCTATCTATTTGTTTGTTTGTTTGTTTTTACCTTTGTTACAGGTGTTTCAGGTCTGATGAGAATCACTGTAGCAGACAAAACCAAAAGAAACGACAAACCCATGCTGGAACCTTTGGAGATGAAACAAACCTGAGTTAGATATGCATCAATGGAACAAAATATAACATTACCCAGTGAATCCTACAGGAGTGTTATGGTATCCTAACAATGTTAAATATACTTTAAATTCAAGGTAAACACATTCCAGGGCRTTATTTGTCTAAAAGAGTCATTTTAAAAGTAAATCAGATATTGGGCCGTGTCTAAAATTTGGTTTAGTTACAGAACTACAGACACTTGCAAACAAAAAAAAGAGCAAACAATCAGCAATGTTTTAATTATTCAGAATTCCTGTATTTGGAAGGAAAAAAAAGCTGCATCATCTTTCCAAACACTCTCTTGCTGACCTATTGTGTTATCTGGGTTGCGTTTTGTCAACAAACCCAAAACGGCTGAGCTTTATCTTGTCTTCGTAGTTTTATCAATAATTGCAAGGTACCTTTGGTTCTGTAGTGCTGCTGTAAATCTGTCTTTAAATTCCTATTATTTTACACAGCAGACATGAGATTTTCCTGTCAGTGTACATTTTTTAAGCGTTGTGCATAAACACTTTGTCTCATAGGCAGGAGTTTATACTCATTTTAAAAAACACTGTACAATAAGGCCGTCATGAAGAGAAAATTAGAGAAAAAGCTGTAAATATCCAAWTAAAATATTAGCCTGCAAGCCCGAACCACTTAAGATGAGGAAACTCTGGCTGCTTTGAAGCAAAAATATAAAGCATTATTATTGTCTGCTAATTTACAAACTACTTAAAACACTTCAATTGCTTGTCTTAACAACGTCTCAACCCTTACACTTGCAGATGGTTAATTTGATAGTGATGCAGAGACAATGTAAACAGGAAAGCAGCATGTCTCAGCTAATATTAGAGGGTTAGCTTCTCTATTGATAGATGTTGAGCTAGCTAGCACCTGCCATAGGGACGAAGTAATAAATGGAAGTAGAAACAGACAGAGCTACAACACAGAGGCTAGCTTTAAAGAGGTAGACCTGCTGTTTTATCAGCTTTTACGTTACGGTGTGAATAGTTACAACTACAGAATCAGCAGCTGCCCAGTGAATGTGTAAGAAAAAAGTTACCTTACTAACCACACGCCAGTTTGCTCTGATATTCTATAATATTCTGCGTGTAATTTAAAGAGCAGCACGTCTGTTCTGCTACAAATATTATACTACACAGTCACGTCATGTTTGTTGGTAAAACTGTCCAAAACTCACCTCTGCAGCTCCTGCTTTTCTGTCACAAAGCAGAAATCTCACCCCGTAACCTGTTCCTGCTTGCCTGGAYGAGCGCATTTCCGGTGGGGCATTTCAAAATAAATTCGGGAACTTCCGTTTCTGATTTATTAAATTATACATTCATCACGCCACATGGTTTTTTTTTAAATACAAATATCATGTAGTTTAGAAACATCCAAGTGTTTTGCAATAGAACTGAATTGAATTGCAATAAAATTTAGTTTTTAAAGTTTAGTTTGTCCCTCTGTATTAAGACCACTTGGCTCTTACAAAAAGAATGACACTGTTGTATTTATTTAGCTGGACAAAACCACAAGAGGTCTAAATTGGGATTTTCTATTTTACTAAGTAAAACATAAACAAACTACCTTAGTTAGTTTAAAAAAATACTCCAGTTAATTGAATGTGGGGCAGCTGCACCTTTATTTCCGTCGTGTTTGCTCATATGAGCCACTTCAAGACAATCGTTTTTATTAGTATTTTCGTTGTTTCACTTCTGTTTTAACTTAATATTTGTTTTTTAAATTTAGATACAATGGTAGCACACACACAAAACAGACAAAATAAACAATAAAACTATTTCCACGACTGTGTAAAATGTTTTCAGWTTTGTTAGACTGTTACAATTACGTAGCTACGACCCGTGTTTGAACTATTTCGACGGTCAGTGAACGCGGCTTGGTCTTTGCTCTGACACTTCAAACAGCGGGAGTTTTAAAAGAAGCTAGCTACCGACCAGGTTTTCCTCATWTTTATACGACCCATGAGCTGTTTATAAATACAGTCTTACGTTTGTATTAAATCTAAAATACGGGTCTTATACTTAATATGATATAGCTGTTTTAGTATTATTTTAGCACTAATCATTTAGTGCTACATGCTAGCCAAGTTATGCTAACCGAATCATTGTAAGCTAGTAGATGAAAGCTAACTTGTTATCTATCTTTATGAGCAGGTAATAAAACACAATGAGTCATGCGAGGGCCATAAAAGAATTTTTGAACATTCCAACTGCAAGCAGGTAGTGTGCTAATTTATAAACTTGAAATAAAATATATGAAACAATGATTTGTCTTATATAAATTGTTTTGATGTTCGGTATTAAAATAAATGTTTTTGTWTTCATGAATCAAACCTTGTGTTGACGAAATTTTGAGCAGAAATGTGGGAACAACTGGCTACTCCAACTTGACGGACTCTCAGATTTTCCTTGGGTCCCAGTTTTGGCTTGAGAATTCCCAAGGCACCTCTCAGGATGTGAGTTTGTCATCCAGAAACTCCCAACAAAGTTCACAAGAGGTGGGTATCATCATCATCATCATCATCATCATCATCATCATCATCATCATCATCATCATCATCATTATCATCATCATCATCATCATCATCATCATCATATCATCATTATTATTATCATCATCATCATCATCATCATCATCATCATCATCATCATCATCATCACTGTTAGGAGACAAATGCTCATTGATGTTTTAAAAAGAGCTGTGTAAAGTAGTGGCACACTGGAAACAGAACAGAATTACACAAATCTATCCCCCACCCACCATGTTGT